ACATGAAGATCTAACCTATGAAATTTGAACTCTTTTGAAAAAATTTATTTAAAAATAGATTATACATGTCCCTAACTTTCTTTTTTTAATTTTTAATTTTAAAGATGTGAGGTACAATTTAGGGTTAAGTATACAAATGTTCATTATATAGGTACCATTGTTGATGAAGTGTGCCCCCGCCCCGGGCAGAATTCCACTACTGGCAATCCCCCCTGGCCCCGGGGCAATTTCCCACTACTGCCAACCCTTTTCTTACGTATTACGATAATTGTTCAAGGTCCACTTATGAGTGAGAGCATGTGATACTAGTTCTTTGTTTCTGTGGTAGATCACTCAGTATTATAGTCCATCCAAGTTGCTGTGACGTTTATAATTTTGTCCTTCTTTATGGCTGCATAATATTCCATCATGCATATGTACCACATTTTTTTTTTTTATCCAGTCCTCTTTCGATGGGCAGCATGGTTGGTTCCATGTTTTTGTTATTATGAACAATGCTACAATAAACATGCATGTGCAGGTATCTTTTTCATAGAGTGATTTGAGTTCCTCCAGGTATATTTCCAGTAGGGGGATTGTGGGGTCGTATGGAAGGAAGATTTTTAGACCTGTCCCTGAATTAACTTCTTATGTGAAGTTAATTCAAAAAGGACATGGGAGTCTATGCACCAGACAACCAAAATAAAAATATTTAAGCTCACAGTGACAGCCCAAAGTACATACTCATTTGTCAGTAGAATGTAGGAACTTCAGTGTCTAGATAGTATCGATTTCGATGGTGTAAGAGACATTTGTCTTACTTCTTCCTAGCTTTTTGGAAAGCTGTAGTGGTAATTTGTATTAGTATAATTAAGAGTCTTAGAATTAGTATAATCAGATGCTTGACTGATTCTTTACTATTTTTTTAATAGCTGGAACAAACAAGGTTTAGAGGAATTAAGTGTCCCAAGATGGATGGTTAGATTACAATAGAGCTGGGATTTGAAACTAGATCTATGGCTACTCAAGCCTGCTTTATTGATCTTGTGTCTATATTGAACAGCTGACCTGATCAGGTTAGTGACTTGTGGATGGTTGGTGTGTTACTGAGTTTTTGCTACCTAAAACAAGGCTTACCTGTAATGCTGTTGGAATGAAGTGAAATGCTACTAAAACGGATTAGGTAGCAGAAGTCACGCTCCAGCTGGTGGTTTCTAGATACACTTCCCGACGCAAAAACAAACAAACAAACAACAACAACAGAAAAACACCACAGCATCGTTCCATTAGGGAGAGCTTATGCCATAGGAAATTTCTCTCTGCAAGAGAGTTTCTCCAATCTCAGAGTGTTTTATTCTGCTTTTTGCTGGTTTGCTTTTATTTACTCGAATGCCATGAATATCAGCTTTTCACCAGACTTGCCTAATTAAGAGCTTGTCAGAGTAAGAATTTAGTGCCTGCCTGGTTGTAGGTTAGAAGTTTAGTGACCTAGAGCCATTTGAGCCTTTCCTCAGAAAATGCCTTCCAAAATAGTTTGAGTGATTAATTTCAGATGCAGTTCTATTCTTCGCCGTGGCAAATTTGTTTCAGTGTTCATGTAACTGTAAGACTTTCTGGCTTTCTATTATCCTGAGCCTTGGTTATGGAGCTGAAATCTGGGTTTTATTCCCAGCCTTGCTGCTAACAAGCTGTGTGACCATGGGCAAGTCATTAATGTCTATGTGCCTTAATTTCAGCCGACTCCCTTAGAGACCATTCACTGAGGTCCTACTCATGGCAGGCCCAGATAGGTCACATGGCACAAGTGTTAAGAACACAGATTTTTTTTTTTCATTTTCATTTTAGATTCAGAGGGTACAAGTGCATGTTTCTTACATGGACATGTTGTAAAGTGGTGGGGATTCTGTTTTAGGTGGCCTATTTCCCCAGTAGTGAACATTGTATCCAATAAGTAATTTCTGAACTCTAACCCCAACCCTTCCTGTTCCCCTTATCCGTGCCTTCAGTGTCTATTATTTCCATCTTTGTGGGCACTTAGCTCCCACGTATGAGTGAGAACATGTGGTGTTTGGTTTTCTGTATCTGAGTGAGCTCACTTAGGACGATGTTCTCCAACTCCATTCACATTGCTGCAGAGGACATGATTTCATTATTTTTTATGGCTGCATAGTGTTCCATTATGTGTATATACCACATTTTCTTTTTTTTTTTTTTGAGTTGGAGTCTCACTCTGTCGCCCAGACTGGAGTGCAGTGGCCGCTTCCGGCCACCGCAGCCTCGACCTGCTGGGCTCCGGTGATCCTTCCGCCTCAGCCTTCCGAGTAGCCAGAATTACAGGCATGCGCTACCACGCCCGGCTGATTTTTTAATTTTTATTGTAGAGATGAGGTCTCGCTGCCCAGGCAGGTCTCGAACCCGCGGGCTCAGGCAATCCACTCACCTTAGCCTCCCAAAGGCGTGGGATTATAGGCTGAGCCACCGAGCCCGGTTCTTGCTTGTATTTCTATCAGTTCCAGATCTCCATACACTTTACCAACACCTATCATTATCCTTAGCTTATATGGATGAAACAGACTACGCAAGAAAAATGGAAAATAAAACTAGTTCAGGAAGCAGACATAAACCAAACAAGATAAAAATCCCCTTGTGCTGACTGTTGTAGCATTGAGATCCGGGACTGCATGTTCTCTACCTTTCTGGCAGATCATCTTCACTGCCATCCATTGGTCTTTATCCTGAATTAGGAGGAGAGAAATCCCCTGAAGTTCTGCATGACAACTAAAGGGTTAGGAAAGCCAGATTATCAGTGAATATCAGAAGTTACTTACTACAAATAAGTCACTGAAAAAAATCAGGATAGGCTGCTAGGCGCTCTGTGTTAGACTTTCCTAAGGGTTTGGCAAATGATCCTGCCGAGAAGCCTGTGAACTCCGGGGTGTCAGAACTGACTTGGCAACATTTTTAGGGACTTGGTTCTATCCTGCAAATAAAGAAAATGGGAAAATAGATAGTTCTGGGCAAACGGGGGAGAAAAAAACCAGTTGCTGAGAGAGCTACAGTAAAGATAAGTCAGTCCTATGAAGAGGTGTCTACTCAGTTATGTTCTCTTCATAAGCAGAAATTCTGGGGCTAGGCAATTCTTTGTATGGCCAGGTGGCCTGGCCTACAAACTTTCAGAGGAATACCTAGGAGTACTAAACTTCCATGGGCTTACTAGGGATTCAGGTCCTCAATCTATAACTTCAACATGTGCTTTAAACACGTGGCTTCTGGGCTCTGCTATGGATTTAGCAGGATGTACTTAAGAAAGTTCGTTTGTTTAAAAGAAAAAACAGGCCAGGCGCGGTGGCTCATGCCTGTCATTCCAGCGCTTTGGGAGGCTGAGGCGAGAGGCCTGTCTGAGTCCAAGTGTTCGAGATTAGCCTGGGCAACTTGGTGAGATCTTATCTGTACAATAAATCAAAAAATTAGTGGGGCATAGTGGCATGCACCTGTGGTTCCAGCTACTTGGAAGGGTGAGGCGAAAGGATTGCCTGAGCCCAGCAGGTTGAGGCCGCAGTGACTGTGAGTGTGCCATTGCACTCCAGCCTGGGCAACAGAGTGAGACTCCAACGAGAAGGAAGGAAGGAAGGGAGGAAGGAAGGAAGGAAGGAAGGAAGGAAGGAAGGAAGGAAGGGAAGGAAGGAAGGGAAGGGAAGGAAGGAAGGGAAGGGAAGGAAGGAAGGGAAGGAAAGGAAGGAAGGAAAAAGACAGCCACCACCCCTAAACCTCCTAAATGTTGATGAGTCAACCAGGGTGTGGATAGCAAGAGGCAACACAGAGTTTTGATGTTGTGCTGGGTAATAAACATGTTTTGCATGTGCCTGGGATATTAGAGGTGTAAATCACAATGAAAGATGCAAAAATGTTAGGGAAAAGTGTCTGAGCGTGGTGGTTGTAATCCCAGTACTTTGGGAGGCTGAAGCAGGAGGAATGCTTGAGCCCAGGAGTTTGAGACCAGGTGGGGCAATATAGTGAGACTTTGTCTCTACAAAAATAAAAAAATGTAGCTGGGCATGGTGGTATGCACCTGTAGTCCCAGCTATTGGGAGGCTGAGATGGGAGAATCACCTGAGTCCAGGAGTTCAAGGCTGCGATGAGCCATGATCGTGCTACTGCACTCGAGCCTGGGCGACAGAGTGAGACCCCAACTCAAAAAAAAGAAAGTTAGCGGGAATGTAAAGCAGGAAGTCCAAATTGGAAGTTGATTTAGAGAATAAGTTGAGGAGCGGGTAGAAAGGAAGACCAAGGACACAGAAGGAGAAACTTGCAGAGATTCCCTTAGAACAATAATTCACTGGTCTAGCATTCAGGAGTGTATATATAGGATATGGACGAAAAAAGAGGAATTTGGGATGCCTCAGGGTAGACATTGCCCAGACTAGAACTTTTTTTACAAGGGGGACACAAAAAACCCTGGAATTATCTTTTGGAGGGCAGGCCCTTTGTAGTACAGTCTCCCCTGCTAGGTAAGTGTTCTAGGAACCCACCAGCATCAGTGTACCAGCTGACACTGTTGTGAGAGGCTGTGTTGCAGAAGAAAGATCCCGAGTTGTAACCAACAGATAACCGGTTCTTCCACCATGACCATGCACCTGCCCACACGGCCCTGATGTTCAGCAGTTTTTGACCCCAAACTGGGATGCTTGGTGTAGATTTCTGTGCAGGCTTGGATGGAAAAGGAGAGCTCAGCCTCCTAGGATGGTCAGAGAAACCTGCCTCCCAGAGGCTGGTGCATGTGAGTTGGGCAGGGGATCCCACTTCTCTCTCTCTATAAGCGACTTTTTTTTTGGTTTCCCTGATGAAAAAAGTTCTCAGCGGGAACCATTTTGCCAATGTGGAAGGGGTGAAACAAAAAACGGCAGAAGCACTAAAAGGCATCCAAATCGATGAGTTCAAAAACGGATTTGAGCAGTGAAAAAAGCATCTCAATAGAAGTATTACATCAAATGGAGAGTACTTGATAGGTGACTGAGGTTTAAACATGTAAGAAAAAAATGCACAATTTTTCATAAATAAATTCCATCTTTTGGGAGTCCCCTCGTATATCTGTCCTTCCCATGCACATACACATTTACACTTCATTTCCCTAAGTTTTTAGTGAAAAGGTGATGCACTTTATTGAAAAAGCCTCACAGTTCTGACTCTTTGTCTTTTTCATCCAGGTAGTATTCATCATCTGTGGTTGTGTCTGTGTCACAGTCTGAGTCTAGTGGATTCTCCTCATAGATATTAAGTGGTTCACTTGGAGATAAGCTGTCTTCTGGCATCTGACTACTAGGAGAATTTGAGCTCGCTGGCTCTGATGGATTGGGAGTGTTCAGCACACCGTCTTTCAGGAAGCCAGGGTTCTTAAGAAAACTTGGTTTCCACAGTCTTCCTTGTGTGAGTGACCTCTTCACATTCTCCAAGAAAGCTAACTGTTGTTCTTTCCCAAAAATCCCATAGTCAATAGGTCTGGAGATCGAGGTTGCAGTCCTGGGACCTGTTTTTGTCCTGCCGCGGTACAAAGTCCAACTTTCATTTTCATCGCTGGAGGGAAGTTCAGAAAAAGATTTGAATCTTCGGCTGTACCCATTGTTCATAGAGAATTCACTCCCAAGGGCCAGTTGACTCAAGGCATTGTCAGTAGAAGTGCTTTCAGAAAAATGGCGCTCCCTGGCTTTTGGAGGAAGACTTTTTCTTTGCTGATCACCATGCACATTAAGGCTTTTTAAACTCTTTGATCGATAGAGGGGTGGCTCGGGTTCCCAGTTCTGAAAGGAAGCACTCCTCTGTTGCTGCTGCCACCTGGCCAGTGGGATGCTTGGTGTAGATTTCTGTGCAGGCTTGGATGGAAAAGGAGAGCTCAGCCTCCTAGGATGGTCGGAGAAACCTGCCTCCCCGAGGCTGGTGCAAGTGAGTTGGGCAGGGGATCCCGTTTCTCTCTCCAAATTCTGGGTTACCGTTACATCTTCAGAATTCTCATGCTTTGATGGTGATTCCGAGACATTCTGATGCAGCTGTGAAATGCTGTTAGACTTCTGATTGCTGAAGTGCATAGAAGGTTCTCTGCTGGATGGTACAGTCGCCTGCTGTAGAGGGTTCTCAGATTTCTTCACATTCATTCCTTCATTACTCAACCTTTCACCTGTGGATTCTGCAGATTCCAGAGCAGGCTCGGGGGACAGTGGGTTGCATTCCAGTGGACCAAGAGATAACTCAAAGCCAGACCTGCTTCCGCTTTCAGGGAAGATAGTAGTTACGTGTCTTCTGGGGCTTAAATCTTTAGCTGGGAATTTTCTGCTCGCTTTAGACATGGCTGCCAATCTGTGTTTAACCGAGAATCTGTTTTCCCCCTTTTCTGGGTCATCCAAGTTGGTTTTGTTTTCATTATTTCCTCCAAGAAGTGAAGGCTGATCCCATGTCAATGTCTGCATTTCATCTGGAGCCTTCCTGCTCTCTGTCATATCTATCTCCTGTCTTTTTGGAGGTAATTCTCTACGTTCAGACTGCAAACTGTCTAAGTCTGGCTTACCTGACCGAGTCTCCTCAACAAGCTGGAGTTTATGCAATGCTGGAATAAGAGCCAAGACCTGGCTCTCTGCATCAGAAAGTGCTTTATGAGTCATTTTTTGGCAGTTGGTCCCAGCATTCGCTCCACCTTCCCCAGGCTGTGATCCATTGGGGCTATCGTCTACAGCTATGGCTGTGTGAGCTTTCTGAGGGCACTTTCCATTTCCATTCAAGGAAATGGCTACACCACGCCCTGCACACTTCCCAGCACTTCGCCTGGTTTGGGAACTCTCAATATTACCCTCTGGATGAACTGGGAGACTAGAAGGACCACTGTGACCTGAACTGATGGGTTGCTGGCAGTTTTCAAGTTTTTCTTCTGTCCTATTTTTTTCCTGAAGCGTCAGTAAAGTATGCAGACTTCCACTTTGCAATTTCCCCCCTGTTTCCTTCCTGCTTTGTGAATCACCTAGAGGTGTTTTAGCTAAATTGCCCGGGAAAATCTCTCTGGTTTTGGATTCTTTTGTGAGAAGAGAACTATCTGCTTCAACAGAAGCCATACCCTGTAACGCAGTCTCTAAGGTCCCCCTATTTGGTAATTGTAAGGGAGTCATATTTTCAGTGGTGAGAGAAAGACGATGACTGTTCTTCTGAGCAGAGATGACTGGTTTCTTTAGATCTTCAGATGAGAGCGTTCCTGACTGCTCTTGGGCAGAACAATTTTCTTTCTCTTTTTCTACAGCATTAGGAAATGTTTCAGTCTCTACCTGAAGGGATTCTGTAAGTGAATCGGTTTTTTGTGTATACTGTTGAAGAAGGTTACGGAATTTTTTGCTGTGTTTGCTTGGCAGGGTGTAATAGATTGAAACCACCTCAAGACATTTTACATTGTCTTCATCGCCAGAAACGGAAAACATACTGGTAGTCTTGAATTTATGTAATGTTTTCCCACTTTCTTTTCCTGACAAGTCTGAACAAAAAGGTTTAGGGTCTTTCTTTGAAACAGGAAGTGTACCTGTCCTGGAGGCAACAATTTTATCATCCTTTTCAGCACATTCTTGAGAGTATTCCTCTTGGTGGTTTCTTCTGGTCGGAGAACAATCTCGAACCGGTGAGTCACTTTCCACAGGGCTAATGATTCTCTCCCAAGGCCTTAGTGTTATAGCAGACGTGTCCAGGCCAGAGGCTAATGACTTTGCTCTTTCATCTTCTGCAGTTGGGGCATGTGATTCCCCTGAAGGACAGGACATTGCCCTCTTGATGAGAAAAGGAAGTGGTCCTTTTCTAACAGAAGCAGATCCAATGATTTTCATACTTGCCACCCTCTCTGCGGCTTCCGGTGCTGGTGGGACTGAGTCTAAAATCACTTTGGAACATTCAGTTGTTGAATCAGAAGAGCTGGGGCTTAATTTATTTAATCTGTCCTTCCCCATGGGATCGTCCATGTTATTTTTGATTTGGAATGGAAGTGGCCCATTCCTCGGTGAAGTAGCTGCCATCTTCCATCCTGATTGCCTGCTGTTGATGAGAAAACTGGCTGATTTTCTTGGCAAAGTACAATAAATTGTGCCGAGCTCAGAAGCTTTGGGATTGCTTTGATTCGCCACAGTGAGGCCGGTGCTGTCACCTGTGGGTATTGCTATACTTTCTGTTTTGTTTAACTTTCCAATATAGGATATGCAGTGTCTTATTTTTCCTTTTCCTTTTCCATTCCTGAAAGGAGAGTGTGGATGGCATTGGACAACATTGACCGCCCCAGTGTGTACAGACATGTGACTGTCATGGCTCTCTTGGTTTTCTGAGGGGTGCAGAGCTAGCTGGTTATTTTGATTCTCCCCAGCATTGTCATTTCCTTCTCCTTCTCCTTCTCCCAGAGATGGATCTCTGTCTAAAGGACTCCCCCTGGAGAACACTGTAGGAGACGGAGTCACAGGAGCATCAAGGAAACAATTATTTGATGCTGAGGAATCTGGTAGTGCAGCTGAGGACAGACGTAAAGAGTCACATGCGACCTTGTGACTAGCTGGCAATTCACCACAGTTTGTAGACTGAATTGTGGCACACTGTTCCTCCTCAGGATCGAAAATATCAGGCTTTTTTGGAGAGTGCGCATTTTGATAATCTGTAGGTTCAGAGCTCCAGTGGCTATTTGTAACAATGCTTGAAACCTCTTCATTCCTTCCTGTTAATTCCTGGTGACAACCTTGATTTGGCCTGGGGAAAGATGGTGGTGTTCTGCTTTCCTGAATGAAAGGAAAGGAAGTTGCTGAGCCAAGTTTTCTGTTCCCAGTAAATCTCTTATCTTTTTTAAGTTCATTGAATTTATCTTTGTGTGACATATACATTTTGGAGATATCTTTTCTGGAAAAGACTCGGGGTGGCCTTTTTGAACTTATTGGGTTAGATGCATTAAAATCAAACCTGTTGGCCTTGGCTGAGTCCTGGGAGAGGGAATTTTGAAAACCAGGTACAGGATGAGTGATCACTGTCTGTGAAACAGGTTGGGGTAGTTCACCTGTCATGTCTGTTTGGTTCATCTTGCTTAGCTGTTTGTCTTCTTCTGAAATAGATTCATTTAAGTCTTTCTCATTATTCACTTCTGTGACCAAGATACTGGGTTGGCTTTCAGCAAGAGGGAGAGAATCAAGTGAATTGCTGTTGGTCATAGTGACTTCCATATGGCTTCTCCTTGGATGAGAGACAGTTTTATTGGGAATAATTTTCTGCAAAGTGACTGAGGGATTCCGAAGGCTGGGACTCTGAGGATCCCTTTGGTCCTCAGGAATCTGGGGGAAGGAAGTGTTGACTGAGGATGCAATTCCAAATGAGGAAGGTTCTCTGTTTACATATACTTCTATAGGAGAACTGTCCTGTTGACCTTCCAACCCACCAGATCTAATGTGATAGCTTGAACCAGGCACGGTGCAAACGTTTGGTGTGCTGAAATGAGAAGTTGACTGGTTTCCATCGCTTTGTGATATCTCCATGCTCTCCCGTGTGGATGTCTGAACATCAAACTGCCAGGGACGTGGCTCTTCTTGGTGTCTGGAAACAACTGTCTTATAACCAGGGGAAAAGGATTCCCAGTGTTCAGAAGGAACATTATTGCCATAAACAGCTGATGCACTATTTGCTTCAACAGAAATCATTTCAAAGTCTCTCCTGCTTTGATGAAGGTCAGACCAGGAAGAATGTACTTCCTGTTTACCCCAAAAAGAACTTTGTCCAAACCTCTGTTCTCTGCTTCGCCCAAAGGTATTGCTGAAGAAAGATCTAGCAAATGGGTTGTCTTGATGGTAGAATGGCATATTCTCCGAGTTCTCAAATGAGTTAGGACTCATTGCATTATCCGTGGGGGTATTTAAACTAACGCTTTGGTAAACATTCTGTGATTGGTACGATTCATAGCTCCTATTTTCCTGAAAACATCTGGGATACACATACTGGTCAGCAGGGTCAATTTCCATTGGTGCTGGTGCCCTCAGGAACGCTTCCTGGTTTAGTCTATCTCTGGAAGAATCTGATCTATTCCATATGATGGATGATAAAGGTGTTCTCTTTGGACTTTGTTGATATCTCGGTGGTACAAACCCACACTTGCTCTGAGTTGTGGCTGGAAAATGTAAGCTTCTTGCTGTGAAATGTCCTGTGGCTGGGGAAGCTGATTGTTGCCTGCTGTCAAAACATAGAGACGTACTACCAAAAGTATTCTTTTGCACATAATCTTCTTTTAAGACCCCAGGCTCCCTTCTCCTGTACATATCATAAATTGTCCTTGTCCTAGGAGAAAAGGTTTTAAAACCTTCTCTAGGAGTTCCTGGTCTTAGGATGTCATAGATAGACATATTGGAAGTTTCATTATAGCGATATTTGTGCCTTCCTGTGATATTACTGTGTCTGTTCCCACTGGAGTAAAAAGAACTGAACTGTGTTCTTGATCCATAGTTGAGGGCTGATCTGGAATTCACCGAGCTTGCAGATTGTTCTTGAGCCAGTGTGCTATCCAAATCATCTAAAACTGAAAGGAAAATATAAATCAACTCTTTTGGTATATGATTTTACAGTTTAATAATAATTTGAGTTGCTGAAGGTGCGTCTTCAAGAAACATAATCATTATAATTTTATTTTATAATATTACCACAAATGTGTGATAATATTATTTTGATTATGTTTTTAGGAAAGTCTGACTTTTATAAGGCTGTAACAGAAGTTTCTTTATCTTTTTTTTTTTTTTTTTTTTTTGAGTTGGAGTCTCACTCTGTCACCCAGACTGGAGTGCAGTGGCCGCTCCCGGTCACTGCAGCCTTGACCTGCTGGGCTCCGGCGATCCTTCTGCTTCAGCTTTCCAAGTAGGTGGAACTACAGGTGCGCACTACCACACCCGGTTAATTTTTTAAAAATTTATTGTTGAGATGAGGTCTTGCCAAGTTGCCCTGGCAGGTCTCGAACCCGTGGGCTAAGGCAATCCACTCACCTCAGCTTCCCAAAGCACGGGATTACAGGCTGAGCCACCAAGCCCGACTTCTTTTTCAAATCATACTTTTTCATGGTAAACCTTCCATAATGCCTTAAGAACATAAAGCTATATATTTTTTAACAATGAATTTTAATCATGATTTCTTTTAGTGCATATAAAGTACACTAGGTTTTTATAAGATATGAGCCAGTAATAAAAGGATATTAAGAATACAGATTCAATGGCTGTGCCATTGAATAACCAGACAACTGTGGGTATTATTAAGCCGTATATTTTTGTTTCTTTCATGTCATTAAGTTGCTATAACAGTTCCACCTGTGTAAACCTCATGAGATTATAATAAAAATGAGAGTCTGGTCAGTCATGGTGGTTCACGCCTGTAATCCCAACACTTTGGGAGGTCAAGGCCAGAGGATCATTTGAGGCCAGGAGTTCGAGATCAGCCCGGGCAACAAAGAAAGACCTTGTCTCTAATTTTAATAGAAATATTTTTAAAAAGAAAAAGAACGAGAGTCTGTAAATAGCATGCAATTTCTCGGTTGTACTGTTAAGAAAACAGCATTACCACCAAGAGTTTGGCACCTAATTTATAAATATGCTTAGCTGGATGGATTTGAGCAATACATATAAGTGAAAGCTCTAGACAATATTATTAAACAATATGTTCACGGTAAATTATTTTTCCTGGGAAAATTAAGACTTATTAACACTCCTATAATACAGTGCTTTGTGTATCAGGACAGTTCTAAACACTTAATATATTTACTCATTAAATCTTCACATCACCTTTCAAGGTCGGTGCTATTACCATTCCTATTTTATAATGAGGAAACTAAGGCATGAAGAGATTAAGTAAATTGCCAAGGCCACACAGTGCTGGGCTGTGAACCCAGGCAGTCTGTCGCGAGTCCATGTATACAACCACTGTGCAAGGCAACCTCTGTGCTGTATAAAAGCTCACTTTTTATTGTTTGCTCTTTGTGAATGATAAAGATGATTTCACTGAGATAAGCTCATAGTTTTACAGAGAAGTGAAGTTGCTGTTGCCAAACAATGGTTCATTTCTCTCACTAGCAAGTTCAGGGAGTGGTGTCCAAGTCAAGGTCAGTGACCTCCTTATAATACTGAGGACCTGGGCCATGCCCACACTTAGGGCTCAGTCTCTGTGATCTCAGACGAGTCACAGTGTATTTTCCGGGACACTGTTAGTGATTCTTTGAATTGTATTTATTCAATCATATTTGACATCTTTTCCTCGATGAAAACCTGTTAGACCTTGAACCATAATCTTTTGAGGTTTTCAGATTCTCTGAGTCCCACCCTGTAACAGATATATTTTACCATATTCATACCATATTAAATATAAATAAATTGGATATTTATTGAATAAATGTCCATTAACGAAAATCAAATCTGAAACAAGAAGTAAGTTATAGTAATATTTAAACGGCTAAAGAATTTTTTGTTTTACAGAACTCTTTCCTTCTGGGTTGCATAAAATGGTACATTTTCCTTGGTTATTTTACAGTACGGGGCATTTAAAATTTTGGGTTTAACTGTACAATGATAGGGAAAGTGAGGCATATCAGTGAGCACACCATAGGTAAGATGTACACATGATATGCCAAGTATGTTAGGGTAGGTTCTAAAGAGGTTTTTTTTCACTTGTTCTGGATTTTTCCTTCCCTATTTTATCTGTAAGTTGGTGCTATTAAGTTTGGACAGTCAGTAGAAGAACTAATATTGAGCATTAAGGATCTATAACCAAGGAATTCTTTTTTTTTTTTTTTTGAATTGGAGTCTCACTCTCTCGCCCAGGCTGGAGTACAGTGTCATGCTCACAGCCACCGCAGCCTTGACCTGCTGACCTCAGGCGATCTTCTGCCTCAGTCTTCCAAGGAGCTGGAATTACAGGCATGCTCCACCATGCCCGGCTAATGTTTTTGATTTACTGTAGAGATGAGGTCTCGCCAAGTTGCCCAGGCTGGTCTCAAATCTTTGGACTCAGGCAGTCCTCTCACCTTGGCCTCCCAAAGTGTTGGGATTATAGGCGTAAGCCACCACGCCCAGCTATTAGTCAATGTTTTAATGAAAAAATATGTCTTTATCTCTGGTCCCTAAATAACCTATTCCCTATAGCCACAACAAAATAATCAAGCAATGCTGAAACATAAAGTAGGGCAAAAAGCAAAACAAAACTACGCAATGGGTAAAAATCTGTGTTTAAAATAAATTATAATAAGATCTCTTTGATATTCATTCTTCCTTCAAGTTGTTGATGGTTTTTCCCCTCCTCTTAAAGTTTTGGCTAACTACAAAGGCAAAAATAGAGTTAGAACAGAAAATACAGAAAAGTATAACCAAAGAGGAAAAGTATTACCAAAGAGGAATCCTACCTAGAGGTAACCGCTCCTAACAGCCCGTGACAGAATTTTAAATTATTCAGTCACTTAGAATTCCAAATTAACAAAGCTGTTTTACTCACTGCTCCTGAGGTCAGAAACATTCCTGTTCTGCTTCTCTTGTTTATTTTCACAGAGGCCAGCCATTTTTTTCACACCATAAACAGTAGCTGTTCTCTTCATATTGGAACAGAGATTTTCCTCTGGTCTTGCCAGGAACCATCTTACTGAAGAGAGTCCCCGGGTTGAGTGACCACCTGAATGTCTCTCACTGACCACCCACCTGTTCCACACGGTGAACGAAGTCCGTGGGTTGACTGTCCACCTGTCTCACAGGGTGAAGGGAGTCCTTGGTTGATTGTCCATCTGAATGTCTCTCACTGACCATCCACCTGTCCCACACATATGACAGGGCCCAGGTGATGTTATTGCCTTTGCAAACTGAACTTAGTTCCTCAAGGTGAAGCTGGTGATCACTTTAGGGTTAACTTTTCAGATGTGTGTGTAATGGTGAACTATGATTATACAATAATCAGATACATATTTATGTGATGCTTTTGGAATCTGTTTCAGCTTTTATCATTATCTACTGTACAAGGTTAATTGTTTAATAACAGATTTCATCACAGTGCATTTAGGTACTAAGCAGGAATAATAAAAGTCTATGAAACAGCAAACTTTGTAGATGTATTTCCTCCTTAAAAAGTCAAATTCATAGAAACAGAGAGTAGAATGGTAACTGCCAGAGGCTGGGAGCAGGGAAAATAAGGAGATGTTGAGTAAAGGGTACAATTGTTGTTATAAGATGAACAATTTCTGGGGATCTAATGTATAGTTTGGGTAGTGATGAATATGTTAATTAATTTGGTTGCAGTAAGCATTACATAACATAATCATATGTCAAATCATCACATAGTATACCTTTAATATACACAATCTGTCAATTAAATATCTTAAAATTTAAAAAATGCATTTCCTTTTTACCTGAGGTTAAATATTAAACATTATGAGTCTTCTGTACCTGTATCAGTCCTTAATTATTTGCTTACATTATATTTAATCATAAGGTTCTTTAATATTTGTGTTAATAACATACATTAATGTCTTCAAATAAGCTGAATAGGAGGACTTTAGAAATAAAGTACAGGGTCTGATATGTTTTGAGCACTTTATACAAACTGTCATTATTTTTTAATTTTTGCAATTTTCTAATTTATTTGAGTCTCACTCTGTTGCCCAGGCTGGAGTGCAGTGGCATGATCACAGCTCACAGCACACCCGACCTCCTGTGCTCAGGCAATCCTTCCACCTCAGCCTCCTGAATTCCTGGGACTACAGGCACGCACCACCATGCCCAGGTAATTTTTTGTAGAGATGGGGTCTCACTATGTTGCCTCAGCTAGTCTCGAACGCTTGGGCTCAAGCGATCCTCCTGCCTTGACTCCCAAAGTGCTAGGATTGCAGGCGTGAGCCACCATACCCGGTCGCAAACTGTAATGATTATTTGCTTCCTTTAGTCCCAAGAGTCTCAAAGGTGATTTGATGTGTAGACTTACCCTGGAAAAACTCATTCTCCAGAAGCAAACCATCTGGTGGAGGAGGCATGCCACTCTCTCCCCTCATGACTGCCGGCTTGTGGACAAACGTACTATCAACGAGTTGATCTTCCAGAGGTGAACTGTATCTTTTTGCCTATTAATTTTAAAGTAGAAAACAATATTATTCTGGACCTTCTCCAGCCAAGATACTTTCATGCTCCCACACAAATGTCCCAAGCTTTAAAGTCCTAGTCTAAAGACCACACATCAATTTTCCTAACACTTATTTCTCAACTTACACTGTTTTGTTGTTTCCACCGTTTGCCACTGACCTTGAGCTTCTCCATCCCTCTATTAATTCTTTTAATTATGAATTTTCAGGCAAGGTACTGAGCCCTCTCTTGGCTGAAGTTTTCCACAAAGTTACACAGCTTTACAGAGCTTAGGTTGGTTCCTGGCAGACAAGAAGAAAATCAATCTCTCTTGAGTTTAAAGTCTTGCCTCCATGGCCCCAATGGCTGGAATTTTGGATTTCCTAACACTGTACGTAATCTTTCAAGAGTCTGTTAGCTAAAACTCATAGTGGACCTTGAGATTTAAGAACTTGACGGATTTAGGGGGAAAATGCTTCCATAAGGAGGTTTCAGAACAGAAGAATCCTCACACAACCATAAGGAGCTGCTTTAAGAGTTCTGAAACAAAGATACTGAAAAGTAAGACTTTATAGATGATAAATGTATTTTTTTTTTTAAAAAAAGAAAGTTAGGTGCAGTTGCTCACACCTGTAATCCCATCACTTTGGGAGGCCAAGGTGGGAAGATTGCTTGAAGTTAGAAGTTCAAGATCAGCCCAGGCAACATAGCAAGACCTCATCTCTACAAAAACAAAAAAATTTAGCTGGTATGTGGTGCACACCGCAGTCCCAGCTACTTGGGAGGCTGAGGCGGAAGGATCACCTGAGCCCAGGAGGTTGAGGCTATGGTGACAAGTGATCGCGCCACTGCACTCCAGCCTGCATGACAGATAGAGGATCAACTAAAAAAAAACCTCAAAAAACCCAAAACAAAAACTATTGCTACTTTTTTTTTTTTGAGTTGGAGTCTCACTCTGTCACCCAGACTGGAGTGCAGTGGCCGCTCCTGGCCACCGCAGCCTTGACCTCCTGGGCTCCGGCGATCCTTCCGCCTCAGCCTTCCCAGTATCCGGAATTACAGGCATGCGCTACCACGCCCGGCTGATTTTTTGATTTATTGTAGAGATGAGGTCTCGCCAAGTTGCCCAGGTGGGTCTCGAACCCACGGGCTCAGGCAATCCTCTCACCTCAGCCTCCCAAAGGCACGGGATTACAGGCTGAGCCGCTGAGCCACTGAGCCCGGCTTATTGCTACTTTTTTTAAACTAAAGGAGTTAGGAGCATGAGGACTAAAGTTGTTTTCCTTTTCTTTTCTTTTCTTTTTTTACTAGCAAATGTTTAACTGGACTTAATCAACTCAAGTCACTGTCCTACTTTCCAGATTTTGTCTTCACAACCTTGTGGGCATTACCCATTTCTATTTCTTCAGTTTCTTTCTTTCTTTTTTTTTGAGTTGGAGTCTCACTCTGTCGCCCAGACTGGAGTGCAGTGGCACGCTCCTGTCTTCAGTTTCTTGTGCCAAAACCCCATTGGCAATTTCTCTGTCAAACTGGCTCCGTCACTCATGACTCCACTGTAACTCACCCTCACTTGTCCCCAAACAAGGCCACTTCCGTCTCCAGGATCTTTCTTTTCAGCTCACTGTGCTACCCAATCCTGGTCTCTGGAGTCTCACTCCCCTGCAAATTTTCCCTTTCTGTCTGGTGTTCACCATTACATGTCATCTTTTCTTTTTTTTTTTTGAGTTGGAGTCTCACTCGGTCGCCCAGACTGGAGTGCAGTGGCCGCTCCCGGCCACCGCAGCCTCGACCTGGTGGACTCCGGCGATCCTTCCACCTCAGCCTTCTGAGTAGCCGGAATTACAGGCGTGCGCTACCACGCCCGGCTAATTTTTTGATTTATTGTAGAGATGAGGTCTCGCTGCCCAGGCGGGTCTCGAACCCACGGGCTCAGGCAATTCACTCACCTCAGCCTCCCAAAGGCGCGGGATTACAGGCTGAGCCACCGAGCCCAGCTGTCATCTTTTCTTTAATGCCTAAGACCAAATGTCTAATCTTTATAAAGCTCCAACTTTTAAATTTCTCCATGACAGGTCTGTCTGATTCTAAAGCCTAGGTTCCCCTAGCCCATACATTCCTCACAATCTAGTATATTCACTACTCCCTGTTTTCTTCCTCAAGGTCTAGGTCAGTTATTTTTTATAGAAGTCTGCCCAAATTTCACTGACTTGTGGTTTTCAGTTCTATGGGCAAGGCGCAATTGACTACTCACAAAGGAGATTTACTAATAAGGAAGGAATGCTCCTATGATAATTCATTAGTCATTTGATATAATTTAACACACCAACTCATGCCTGTAATCCCAGCACTTTGGGAGGTCAAGGTGGGAGGATCGCTTCAGACCAGGAGTTAAACACTAGCCTGGGCAACATAGTGAGACCCCATCTCTATAAAAACTTAAAAATATAATTTAATATATTAATATAAAATTCAGAAGTAAACAAATATTAGAAGCAAAACATAGCTACAGCATGAACTAATCATTTGAGAAATCAGACCAAAATTAATTCTTTTTTTTTCTTTTTAAGTCCAGGTCTTACTCTCTCACCCAGGCTGGAATGCAGTGACATGAACACAGCTCACCACAGCCTTGACCTCTTAGACTCAGGTGATCCTTCCGCCTCAGCCTCCTGAGTAGCTGGGATACAGGAGTGTACCACCATGCTTGGGTAATTTTTAATTTTTTGTAGAGACAAGGTCTACGTTGCCTGGGCTGGTCTTGAACTCCTGGGCTCAAGCAATCCACCCTCCTCAGCCTCCCAAAGTGCTGGGATTACAAGCGTGAGCCACCGTGCCTGGCCTCTTTTTACTCTAAAGTATATATAAGTGTTCTCTTTTAGTTCCCTGCCTGATGTCTCTCCAACTTTTTTATTTTTGAGAATAACAATTAGTCACAGCTCTTATAAATCCACTCTTCCCAAATCTGCCATCTTGGTAGTTGGTGCAGCGTAGATATATCTGTTGAAGAGAACAGTAGCGTAATGGTCTCTCAAATACTTAACAGCTGAACAAACTTTGACTTTCCTCTATGTAGACTGGTCCATTCCTTGTGGATTACATTCCTTTTATGAAAATTCACAGTGAAATGAAAAGCTCATGGACAGAGGGCTCAACTAAAGAGATGAACCACTCTCAGCCAGGGAGGGTCATTATTTGAGAATAACTTCCCCTGGTTAGATTTCTGCCCAGACCTTCTACTTCAAGACCAATCCTACTTGCACAACATATTCAGGATGTTTCAACACACAGAGATATAAATTATAGAGCTAACTAAGAGAAAATATCGAGGTTTCATTTACACTCAGTTTTAACTATGCAAAGACGATTTCAGTGACGAGACTGTTTTTAAAAAGTGACTGCTAATTCACTTTTCACAATAGCAAAATCATGGAATCAACCTAAATGCCCAACCACGACTGACTGGATAAAGAAAATGTGGGCTATATACCCCATGGAATACTATGCAGCCATAAAAAGAATGAAATCGTGTCCTTTACAGCAACATGGATGAAGCTGGGGATTGTCACCTAAGTAAACTGACTCAGAAACAGAAAACCAAACACCACCTGTTCTCACTCACATGTGGGCACCTAACTGGTCACAAAGATGGAAATAACAGACACTGGGGACACCCATAAGCCGGGAGGGGAAGGGGGATTAGGGTTCTGAAATTACCTATGGGGCACAACGTTCACTATCTGAGGAATGGGTCACCTGAGACCCAGCCCCCACCCCTACACAATATGTCCGTGTAACGTACATGCATGTGTATCCCCTGAATCTAAAATAACAGTGGGGAAGAAAAAGTAACTGCTAGTCAATGGCTGGTATCAGACACAAAGGCAAGTGATGCTGTCATTGCCCTAAAACCCCTATTTTTTTTTTTTTTGTAAGCTGTGTGTAAGATAGTAGCAGCAGCAGCAGTAACTAAACATTGATTATTCAGGACAATGTGTTAAGGGCTTTATTGGAGTTATTTTATTTCATTATTTTATCCATCCTGTGAAGTGGGTACTATTATTATTTCGACTTTGAGGAACCGAGGTTTCAAGATGTCAGGTCGTTTGCCTTGGGTTTGCTAGTGGAGGGAAGTGACTCACTCCTGGCCTGCCAGATGCCAGAGTCCAAATGTTTTGTTTTTGTTTTTTTGAGTTGGAGTCTCCCTCTGTACTCAAGGCTGGAGTGCAGTGGCATGCTCATGGCTACCACAACCTTGATCTGCTGGACTCAAGTGATCCTTCCACCACAGCCTTTCTAGTAGATGGAACCATAGGCGGGCACCTCAATGCCTGGCTAATTTTTTTTTTTTGGATTGATTGTAGAGATGAGGTTTTGCCAAGTTGCCCAGGCTGGTCTCTAGCCCCTGGACTCAGGCAATCCTCTCATCTCTGCCTCCCAAAGTACTGGGATGACAGGCATGAGCCACCGCACCCTCTGGGCCCAGTTCTTTTTTTTTTTTTGAGTCGGAGTCTCACTCTGTCGCCCAGACTGGAGTGCAGTGGCCGCTCCTGGCCACTGCAGCCTCAACCTGCTGGGCTCTGGCGATCCTTCCGCCTCAGCCTTCCGAGTAGCCGGAATTACAGGTATGTGCTACGACGCCCGGCTGATTTTTTGATTTATTGTAGAGATGAGGTCTCACCAAGTTGCCCAGGCGGGTCTCGAACCCACGGGCTCAGGCAATCCACTCACCTCAGCCTCCCAAAGGCGCGGGATTACAGGCTGAGCCACCGAGCCCGGCTGGGCCCAGTTCTTATAGGATCATCTTGTAAGCCCTTTCCAGCTCTTACAGGCTGAGTTCGTTCCCCCAGGATTTTTTTTAATGTCTCTCTAGCAGTGTACTATTATGTCATATGGAAAGTTGTTTATATTTTTTCCACTTTTACATTATGACAGCCTTCTCTCCTTCCTCCTGACCACAAATTTCATTCCACGCTCTGATCTAGGAAACTAAAGACTCAAAGAC